TGGACGAAGGATGAGATTTTGGGAATTTTCTCATTGGAGAGCACTCAGGCCCCATGATCAGCCAAGACAGGTTGCCCTGCCTCAGAAACGGAGTTCCAATCTTGAAGAGCATATCCCTAAAGGGCAGCATTCTCCGATCCTGCCATGGTGACGTGTGGCGAGGTCGCCTGCTGGGCGTGGGGGCCAGTCAATCATTATTGCTTTGTGGAGTGCAGGCTAAGCCTTCTAGAACCCTTTGGGGTGTGGCCCATGTTCTCTAGGGCCATAGAGGAAAGAGATGGTTCCATATTAGTTAAGACGAGCTTGGAAAGAGGGGTGTGTGAATGGTAGGTTTGTCCAAGAATAGTGACAGAAAGTACACGGTCAACACTCTGGTGCTGGCTCCAGGAACCTTGCTGTCAGTGTTGGAAGCCAGTCTCTGCTTTCCCCATACTTTGCGTGATTTCACACATTGTGTTTGGGTAAATCCCCATTGCTGTCCACAGCTCCAAAGAAGGTGTGAGAATGTGCTTGCAGGGCTCCTGGTGTCAGCAGGGTGGCTGGTGCCTAAAGTCTGCAGGCTCCCAGAAGATGCGCAAGTTCTCAAGTAACTTAGGTAGTCTGGTGTAGACCAGAGCAGGAAGTGGCTTGCACTCCATCAGGGATTTGGGGTCTGTGGTCAGACCTCGAGCATAGGCACTGTCTGTTTTCTTCTTTGAATCTTCTAAGCCTCTCTGTTCTATAATCTTGACGATTTTGAAGAGAAACCATGGCAGCTAATGACTTTGTTGAACAAAACTGCTCTGCCTACATGCTAGTCTGGGAGCAAATAGTAGCATCTGGCCCTGTGAGGGACTTCTTACTTGGACTTGAAAGCAAGGTAGCAGCATGGGGCAAAGGCCATTGGGGGAGCTGGTATGACAGTAGGTCAGTTGCTCCTCAAATTGTAAAAGCTGTGGCACGACTGATGCACAGGAGGCCCGAGGCATGGGGTAGGGGGATCCAGCAAGGCAGAGAATAAACTGGAAATGAGGAAGGTGTAGTTCAGGTCTTCTAAGGGATAAAGCTTGGCTGAGTCATCACCGTCTGTATTCCTGTCCGACAGTTTCTGTTTGACAATAATTCATTTCCCTGACACCTAGGAGTTTGCTCTGGTCTTGATCACCTCGCTTGGAGAGGCTGCAAGGTAGGGCACGGGGGGTCATGATTCTGGGCAGCAAAGGGCTGTGTCCCAGTGGGTTCTGATCGCACTTGGAGAAGGATCTGGGTTCTGGGTGGGGGAGGAGAGCATGGTTGTCAGCATATGTCACAGTTGGTCTTCAGGGTGGGGGGTGGGTGGGAGGACAGCTTCCAGAGGAGCTGGGTGCAGGGAGGAGAAGGTGAGGTAGACCAGTAGGTGCATGGGAGGGAGTGAGATGTGGCATCAGCAACCTGGAGCCTTCCCAGTGGAAAGGAGGACCCGAGACAGAGTTGTGAGATTGGTGATGAAGATGGTTCAGTGTCCGTGGTATGTGAGTGAAACACACAGTGAGAAATGAATGGGTGACGTCATAAGCCCCTGGTAGAAAAATATATCCAGAGTGGATCTGTTGCATGTCTCCATTCTGGATTCTCCTTTAGTTCACAGGTTACTGGTCAACAGAAAAGAAGTTGTGGCCACACAAAGCCCACTTCCGGCTGCTCTCCTAAATGAAGTCTCAGCAGTTAGACTGCCTAGGGCAGCAGGAGGCTCTCTGTGTTCCTTGGGGTTGAGAGCTATCCTCGGGGCCCTTCCTGGAACTGGGAGCCCCTTCCTGCACAGAGGAGCAGTAAGGAAAGGAAATGGCTGGGGTCGGGTGGGGCGGGGCGGGGCGGGGACTGAGCTGCTGTCTCTGCTCACGATGCCTCGAGATTCAGGTTCCTGTAGCTTGGTATTAGCGCTTGGCCCCAGCCCGACTTCATGGGGCACTTCCAGGTTCTTCCAGCAGTTCTGGGAAGGTAGTGGGATCCTTAAATGCCTGGGAGACCAAGGGAAGAAGACTGGGCCAGCCCCAAGCAGGTTGCTGGGGTGGAGAGGGTGACATTTACAAGGCGTGTACTCCACACCCAGGCTTCCTGCATGGGGAGTCCACGCAGTTGCCTGGAAGCCGACGAATCCCTCTTCCTACCAGCCATCTGTGCAAGGCTGGATGGGCTTTGTGGACTCAGAGCCCCCATGCAGGGTTCTGCTCACGTGGGCAGAAGGAGCACGTGTACCTCCGTTTCAAATCTTTAATATCAGCAAAGGTGTAGATGATATGTGAGTTACAAAAAAAAAATACTGTTGAATTTTTGTGAAATCAGTTTTATTTCAAAATTGAATAATTTTGAAGTAGTTCATTATGAAAGCAGCTTTTTAAATGTAAGATGAATGCTTCTTTAGTGTGAAATAGTTGTTGTCAGCTGAACTTGGGTGTTCGGCAGAAGGATCCCCAGCTGGGCTGGCTGCAAGGCTTACCATCTCTGACTTTCCAGCTGTGTCCCAGGGAGCCAATTCTGGGGCTGGAAAGGGCCAGGGGCAGCCTGGCCCGCCTTTCCCCTGCCTCCCCCTGCCCCAGCAGTTCTGTTGGTTGCCCAGCTGAAAAGGCAGCTACTCTGCGGCCTTTGTGCGCTCTGCTTGGCTGCTGTCCTATGTGGAGTGTGCGCCTTGAGGCCTGAGCTGGGGGCTCCAGTAAACACGGTGAGTCAGCGTGAGGCAGAGATACTTTCTCAGACACACCTAGAGATGGAAGATTGGGGCCAAGGATTGGTGGCTGGAGTCACTCCTGGTGCAAAAGGGCCCTTGGGATTGAATGGTCTTTGACTTAGGAACCCTGTGACCCAGAGGGGCTGCTGCTCTGGCCTGGCAGCTGGGAGGTTCTTCCTCAGGTAGGCTCGGAGACTTTTTTATCATGTTCAGCTAGCCAACATGTAGTATGTCATTAGTTTTTGACGTAGCGTTCAATGATACGTTAGTTGCGTATAACACCCAGTGCTCATCCCAACTGTTTTTTTTTTTTTTCCCTCTCCAAGGGGCCGCCACTGTGTAGAAGATTTTCCCAAAGGGACAAGTTCATGAAAGTTGGAGAATTTCCACTATAGAAGTGGGAGTATAGAAGTGAAGGTGTCAAGAGACCGAGACAGGAATAAAAAGAAAGGGTGAGGGGCATTGTCCGTCCCAGCCCTGGTGAAAGTGAGAAGGCGGCCTTTGAAGGCCATTCCCTCCACCTGTAGCTCCATCCTTTACCAGGAACAAACCCTCAAGTCTGCATGGGCATATCTGGCCACACTCTTGGGAGCTGGAGTGGACAAGTGTTTGGTGAACCAAGACGAATGGGAGATGCCAAGGGACGGGCCGATTTCAGGAAATTGGGGCGGACAGGGTGGTTTGGGTGGGCTGGGCAGTCAGGTGAGTGTGAATGGGAGCTGTGTGTAGGTAAAGCAAGGCAGGGTGTGTCTTTCTTCTGAGAGGGGCTGGTGATCAGCACACAGGAAAAGCTCAGCCATGTTGGCAGGTGAAGGGGGCTATGTGAGCTGAGGTGACTGTGAAGGGAACTTTTCCATCTTCAGGTGGCTTGAAAATCAATCACTTAAACCAGAAAGCATACGGGTGTGTTGTGACTGCTGACATGAGGAAGAAAAGGGGGTTCTGGGGGCCCAGGGAAGCTTCTTCACTGGGGACATTCTCCCCCACAGGGCCCTTCCCTGGGCCAGCTGTTGTACTTCCTTGTGCCCCCCCCCTGCCCCCCGCTAGCCTGGCAGGGTCTGAGACATTGGGGATCATGCAGCATTGACAGCCTGTATCCTTCTCCCCAGCCCCTGAATCCTTGGGATTGTGGGTTTTGTGGCATGGGTTACTGGGGCGAGAAGGGCCCATGTGTAAGGAGGTCCTGAAACATGCTGTCTGGGCTGTGTTGAAGCAGGGACTGGAGTGCATGGGCCACAGAAAAAGAAAGGGACTTTAAAAACAGATAGCCTACAGAACCCACCTGGACCCCACACGGGTCTTTGGGGTTACTGTGTGGAGCCTGGAGGTCACTGTTCGGTAGGTTACCGCCCCCCACTTTGCCTGGCAAGCCCAGTCTACCCTGAATCTGGGGTCCTGGGCCTGGCTAAGAAAACCTCCCCCTTCAGTGGTAAAAAGCAGGCACGCAGGGTTTGTCCTGGTCTTTTGCGTCCCAATCCAGAACAAAGTCTTGGCCAAGGTGGTAGCCAGAGCTGCATGTGGGACTTCCGTGGTGTGGAGGGCATTATTCTTGGATGACCATTGTTCCTTCTGGCTGTGGGACGTGGGGTGGGGGTGCTCAGAGACTTGGCCTAAGGCAGGGAGAAATAGAGCTTGACGTCGGAGAGCATCTTTCTGCTTACGAGCATTTGAGGTTATAAAAAATTATCTTTTAATCAAAATTTCCAAAATAAATTGAGTGATTTCCCCATCCCCAAGATGCAAGAAGTCTTGTCGGCTCTCCCTCAGGCTTATACCAAGTCACATGGAAAGAAAAGCACGAAGCAGCTGCGCAGGAGAAAAGGAGGTCCAGGAGGTGGGCGGCCGTGGCTCTCAGGCCTGGAGTGCAAGCCCTGCTCCCGGCGAGCCTGTCTGCAGGCCTGGCTTCCGGCCACTCCGTTGGGGTGAAGCCTGGCGGGACCCGGCGGTGAGGGACAATGAGCACATGAAGGCAACCGACGGAAAGGTAAGCCTGGACAGCAGGAGCTCTTGGTTCCATGGTGTCCCCAGGTAACATGGTGTGGAGCTGGGCGCAGAAATGATTCCTTGACACAGCAGCATGGGTTCTCACCAGAGCTCAAGGCATAACTCATACTTCCCAACGAAAAACCCCAATCTGGTTAGCAGCGCATACCTTAGACTAGGAAACTTGCAAGGAGACCAGTGTTGAACCACAAAGCGAGTACAGGTTTTGCTTTTGTCTGTAAAAATGTACAGGGCGCCTGCTTGGGGCTACGGAGTGAGGACTAGGCGGAGCTCGGTGGCCCGGGGCTCTGCTCGGTGCTAGGGGAGGACCCCTTCATACCTCACCCACCCACACGGCTGTGGTCCCCCGCCTGATGCCCGCCACCTCACAACGCAGTGCGTTTTGTCTCCCATTGATGAGGAACAGCGACTCCTGGGCCGGTGTGAGCAGGTACTGTCCGAAGAGCCCGCTGTCCCTCACGATCCTGCGGGGCCCTCCCCACGGCCCGCCCGGCCCCGCAGGCGGCTCCTTTAGGTTCTCCAGCATGCCCATCTTCCCTGTGGACAGCTCCAGGAAGAGCAGGGCCGGCTCCGTCTCCGCTGCGGCATACACGTAGTACTGGTTGCCCTGGGTGAAGGAGGGCTGGAAGGCCACGTCTGAGACGCCAGGGCTGATTTTCAAGCTGTAGAGGGTCCGGATCCGGCCCTGCAGCGTGATCTCCTGCACGTGCAGCTGGGAGCTGGTGGGGGCAGCACTGACAACGAAGCGCCCGTCGGGGGACACGTGTGGCGTGCCGCTCACGTCACCATTGGGGCCGACCACCGAGTCTGTGACGCTGTCGAGCAGCAGCTGGGGGGCGGCGGGCGCGGGGCTGTCCTGTCGGCACTGCACGAAGAAGTAGCCGCCCAGGTGCGTGTGGGCCATGGCCTGGGGTGTGCAGCCGTGCCGCCGCAGGCTGACGGTTTTGAGCAGCACCAGTGTTTCCAGATCGACTTTGTGGATGGCGGCGTCGGACTTGTTGAAGATGAAGCCGAACCTGCAGAGGGAAGAACTGAGGTCAGAAGTGTAAGGGATTGCATCTTTTCTCTTCCCTCTGTCGTCTCCCTTCAGGGATCTGATAGTTTCTTAAGGAGATGTACCGTCCCACAGGGCACAGCTTCTTCCGTGATTCAGCGATGATGTCAGACCAGATGCTCCTGGATGGACGCTCCCCTGACACGCCCAGGATAGAAGGAGCATAAAAGTGCCCGTGGCCGCTCCTCCCTGGGGGAAGCCTTCAGATCAGCACCCCTGAGGCTTTGCGCCAGCTGGGAAGGACAGGACACACCTGCTGTCAGTGCTCCTTCCCCTGGAAAGGACCGTGGTGGGGCAGCCTCTCCTGGGTCCTGTTTACGAGGCCTTTGGGAGCCATCCTGGGCAGGGGGTGTGGAGGACAGCGTTTACCTTTGCAATCGGACGGCCAAGGCGTTGCGCACTGCCTCTCTCCCAGCAGAGCTGGGCACGTGGCTCGCCTCTTGGAGGCTCTTTGACTCTAAAGAGGGCAGTTCCCTCTGAGAGGGTTGTCAGAGGACTGGATCAAAGAGGAAGCTGCAGGGGAAGGGCTCAGTAGGTGGGCGCTGCTCACATCTGGTCTTGGCACAAGTCTGCTTTGGAGGCGGGTTGTAAGCTGCAAGGAGACCTGACCCCGGGCAGGACTTGGCTGTGACTCGGGGGCCTCTGCCCAAATCCCTGGCTCGGGGAGGCCTTTTGGTGCCTGTGGACACCTACAGGAGTAAGAGAAAAGTCTCCGCCGCACTTATCTCCTGAGTAACGAATGGAGCATCAGAGTGGGGAGGTGGCCAGTTTAAAGCTTCTTTAAAGCATTCCTAAAGAGCCAGGGCACAGAGAAAGCAGGAAAGAGAAGCCTGCTCATAGAAGCAATTTGAATGCTAAAGGCCACACACAGACAACGCAGATCCTGTAAGTTAGACTGGCTGAAGTCAGCTTCTTTGGGGGATTTTACCCCTTCAGAGGCATCTTAGAAGCTCTTCCCAGGTGCTGTCTACAGGGAGGGGTTCGTTAAGGGGTGTTTTCTTCCCGGTCTTGGATAAACGGGTGGGCCTAGTTTTACAAGCCCAGTTTCAGTGTACAAAAATGAGGCATTTCTTCTTGGAGAAAGGTGTTTGATGTCAGACAAAAGAAAGGCATAAATAGTGCCCCCAAGACCTTTGGGTCTCGGTGCCTTGATGAGAGGGAGGCTTAGTCTGCTGCAGTGCTGACTTTCCGGGGTGGGGGGGTGTCTGGGGGGTTCTCTGACGTGAACAGGCAGGGGGAGGGGCCGGCTGGGATGAGGGTTGCAGTGGAGACTGAGGACGCCTTTATTAGACTGTTCTTCTGGATGGTGACAAACCAGACAACTGGGAGGGTGTGTTTCCTGGCTGGCCCTCTGCATGGCTGCTCAGGGGGCTCCTGGCTGTGTTAACTTGGCCGTCCAGGGTCTTAGCTTCTTCGAGCCTCTGTTTCCTCATCTGTAAGAAGGGGTTAAGACCACTTTGACTAGTTTTTTGTGTGTCTGGTAAGTATAGTGCACTCCAGTCACCACTGCTGATTTTCCTCTCTTGTCCTCCGTGGACCTCGGAGGGTGGGAGAGCTGGCTGCCTTCCTTAACTATGACCATTAAGGACTCGGGATGTGTCTATTTCTCTGTCCCCTCATGAAGGAGCCCAAGGTCAGCTCAGCATGAGTGGGAAAGAAACAGAGAAGGAGCAGGTCTCACGCTGGGCAAATGCAGCCACAGGCAGGGCTGAGCTGGGTTACAGGGGGTACTGGAGGGCCCCGTGGCCCCATCTCACCTGACGTGGTTGATGATGAGGTTTGTCTGGGGAATGAAGAAATCGTCCACTCCTGAGAACGGTGTGTGGATAAGGTGCTGGCCCTGGGCAGTGCTGGCTTCTGTGATCACCTACAACACAGAGCAGGAGTCCTGGTGAGGGTCCACATGAGTGAGGGGGGGCAACCTGGAAACATGTTCATGTGCTGGCAGGGACCCTCAGCGGACAGGCTGCTTCAGAGAGAGAGGGGGCCAGGAGCAGAGTGGGAGCTGCTTGGGAATGTCAGAGGCAGGGACCCATCCTCCTGTGGAGAGGAAGCGATGGTTTGGGAATGCCCGAACCATGCCCTCCTGCTTAGGGAGGCCTAAGGTCACCCTGGGAAAAGAGGGAGAGAGCTTTTAAATCACTAAAATGTTAAATGGTGGGAAGATTTACTGGTTCCCTGTTTTCCTCTGATGTCAGGTGCCTGGGCCTGTCTGTTGGGAATTTCTGTCCTATACTGCTCACAGAGGCGTTCTCTGGGAATTGTGACTCCAAATTTTATCAGAGGAAGCAGGAATTGTGCAGAAATGCCATTCAAAGATGCTGCTCTGGCCATTTAGATGGCTTGCAGTTAGAATGCTGGGGCTCAGGCCTGCTAGTGGAAAGGACTTGTGAGAGAAATGGAGAATCCAGCACTGGATTTTGTACACGATGGGAGTGACCGAGCACAGCTACCTCTGTTTCCCTGGAGGTAACACCTGATCCCCGGTGGAGTCAGCAGGAGGCTGCTGCAGCCACTGTCTGGTGCAGAAATCTCTGGTGGGTCTGTGTCAGGGAACAGCATGCCACCGATGCGGAAGAGAGCCACATGCTGTCGGAGATTAGGTGGGATGACAGAGTAGTTTGAAGGTCCTGCCAGGAAGCCCTCTGTGGGCAGGCTGAACATCTGTCCCGCAGCTACCCTACTCTTGGGTGCGACTAGGCCAGAGACATCGTGCCAGCCAGCCTGGGTCCCCCTTGTCTTTGCACATGCTCATCAGCCCTCAGTGGCTAGGCCAGTGCTCTGAAAGATGGCCGACCTGCAGCCAGAGGAGGAGCTTGGCCACCTGGTGGGCCATTTTGGGGGAAAAGCCACAAGGTCAAGCCCAGACCCTCTGAGCAGGAGAGTGGGGGCTTAGGCCTGAACACAGAGCTTAGACACTTTTCCTGATCTAGATATTGTGGCTATGTCTACAGAAAGAAGGGTCTAGACTTGTGCAGCCTGAGGCTGAGGACAGTGTCTCCTGGAGCTTTGTGACTCACAAGGGTTGGAGTTCTGGAGGCTTTTACCTTCGAAGAATAGGCCTGACTTCTGGCTCTTTCTTTTATGGGAAAATGAACACCACTTGGCCTGCCTCCTCAGGCAGGGTTGAGGTTTGAGACTTTTCTGGATCGTGGTTCCCACGCAGGCAGAACGCCAGATTGGAATGATGAGGCCTGTGATTTGTATTATTAGCCTTGGGGCAGCTCCAAAGTTGTAACATGGCATTAGGTTATTTTGCAGTGGTTTTTTAAAATGGCCAAATGACACTTCCATGGCAAGCACATGGAGAAAAAAACCTCTCCGAACTGGGCATTAAGAAAATAGCAGCCTGAGGAAACTGGATCTTGGGAGTGTCTAAGGGAAAGTGCCAGAGAATTCCAAGAAGACATACAATCACTGCTTGATATCAGGCCTGTCATTTTCACTTCTAATAGAAATGGAAAATCACAGGCTGTCAGCGGTCAGGGTCATTCACGCCTCACCACACCGACACCCTGTACTGAGAGATTACCTCATCAAAACGCACTAGCACGGGCCATTGAGCCGATGGGTGCTACCTGCCTCATTTCTCCAACGAGTCTTGAGTTCCTTCTTGGCCTTGCATCCTGCAGAGGGCCTGGGCACATTCGTGTCCTCATTCATGCCCAAAAGATAAGTGTTATTTGAACCCCTCAGTTTTGTTGGTTCTCTGGGCTTGGTTCAGGAGCTGTACATCAGTGGCGAGATACCATGAAATGTCACTTGGTCATCAGTGCGGGGTCCTGAAGGCTGGGCAGCTCTCCCAGTGGGTAGACAGAACCAGCTGAGAAGGGAGGTCTCGTTGGGCTTCAGATACTGTTGCCTCTCGTGTCTACTTTTATAGGATTTAGTTCCTTTGTGGTTTCTGATATACTTGTGTGGATGTGGACATGAGAAAAAATGGTTTTGCAGATGCCAAGTTTATAGTAAACCAAGTTGTGTCATTATTCAGGTTTCCCCTGTTCTTCTTTGGTCTTTTTTGTACAATGTGAGTGCATTTTTAATCGAATTCGTCTTTATGTTAAATCACTCTTGTTTGAGGCATTTAGTTGTTAAGAGCTTGATATCTCTTGGGTGTTCATCCCATGGTGTCTCTCTGTGTATGCTGTTTTTAGTGCTTTTGACCTTAAACCCCACCTTGCCTGATGTGAGTGGCAGTCTGGATACATTCTTGTCACCTGTCCTTACTATGCCTGCCCTTTTAAATTCAGCCTTTTCTTCTCTTTGAAACATGTGTTTCTCATCAACAAGTTCTAGTTTCCTTCCTTCCTAACCCAGTTTGATCATCTCTGCTTTCAAGAGAAATCAGTCTGTCAGATGTGGAATAATTAGACCGTTGCTTCCCAGCTGCTACATTCCGCCAGCATTCTCCAAACTTTCTCTTATTCCAGTAAGGTATTTCTAAGTATTTTTACCCCCTCTTCTTTCCTCCACTCCCTATGCTTATTTTTATGGAAATAATTTATCTTCGGTTACCGTCTGGTAGCAGGGTTTCTCATTCAGCGTGTCTCTCCTCATTCAGACATCCTTATTTAGCACTGATTACCATTTCCAGGGAGGCTGTCCTCATCCTTCTTCTTCTCTGGGTTCATTGTTCAGAACTGTCTCCTCTTTATCTTTCTTTATCTCGAGGACTCTGATCTGGTTCATCTGGTGTTTGTTGGGTATCTTTCCACAGATCTGTTCCTCAGAGGGGGTGGTGAGTGATGCGGTCTCTGAATTCTTATGCCTACGCTCTCTTTTGTCCAGTGAAGGCTATCTGGGCCAGGAATAGGACTCTTGGATTTCAGTCCTAGAGCATCTATGATGTGCCAGCTGCTATGGCAGGTGGGAAATCCAGGGCAAGCTGATGTTTTTTTTTTCTGTTTTTCAGCTTGTAGCTGTTAAATTAGGAAATAATAATTTTTGGTTTCAGAAAAAAAGTGTTTTGGTGGACCCTCCCCATGAATTACTTTAGAGGCTTTCCGGGAGCTGTCAGAGGGACCAATAAGTTAGGATTTCCCTGGGCTTACACTCTGCTCTGAATGACCTTCATTCAGGCTCCTAAACCCTCTAATGGGGATTTTCTGTCAGTTCACTGGGGCCCACGGTCATGGCATCCCTCAAATGACAGTAGTCTCCATTTACAGAAGGTGTGGCAGAGACTTCTCCCTGGCCCAGCAGGGCAGAGACAGGCAGGCAGGTGGTCAGTCTTCTGGAGGATGACCCTTCCTTCTTCCCGGTCTTGAGAACAGGGTGAACTGGGCTCCCTCTGCAGTTCTTCTCAGCTGGTCTTCTGAGAGAGAACAAAGCCCTAATGTCCTGAGGCATCCAATGCATGAATTAACTTCTCTTCTATCTAGAGTGGCTCTGTGTACATCTCTGGGAGAAATCAGGCATTCAGATCTCTTTTCTTAGGGCTTAATCCTTGAATGCATCCCTGCTGATGAGAAAGGCAGAGGCATGCACTCTTAACATGGGGGTGGTGTTGACTGTCTCTTGTTGGTGGACAGGGGAATCCCACAGAACTCTCAGGCCTAGACTGTTTCCAACAGACCGTACCGTGCACTGGCTGACACTGGGCTGCAGAGCCGCAGGGCCTGGCTTGGACCACGGGTACGTTACTGAACTTTCCTGTGCCCTAAAGCACCATAAGCACTCAATAGATGCGCTTCTAGTGTGGACACGACTGCTACTCTTACTTTCCTTTCCTTATCAAGTACTTGCTTGCACACTGCTCTCGAGCCTGTTCAGCCCAAGGAGCAGAACACCCTTGCTCAGGAGAGGGGGAGTCCGGGAGCCACATTCCACTTGTCCTGACATCACAATCTTAGCCATCATCAGGATTCTTGTCCTTAAAGGTAGGCCTGGCAGATGATACCTTGGTAATGGTCTCTGAGGGGCTCTGGCTCTCCTCAAGCCTTGGTGGATAGATTTTGGATAAATGTGATTAGCTACCTAGGGAAGCAAGAGACGTGTATGGGAGGTCAGCATCCTTTGTTCCTGTGGGGTGAGTGTAGGTCTCCATGTGTTCAACATACCTGGAGGCTCGGTTGGGATTTGTGCACATCCCCCCAGCTCAGGACCCACACTTGGTCATGAGACTTGTCATAGGTCAGCTTAGCTGGCAGAGGGTCCACACCTATGGACTTGAGAAAAAAATACATACAAGTGGGTCATCATTATTATAAGCTGACACGGTGGTCACTTCTGGACTTGGTGTACACGACCGTCATGCCTAGGTGAGTGGAAAGCCAACCTCTCTGCCTTGGCACAAAGCCGGCTTGGGAGGCTCAGGGCTTAAGCTGCCCTTCTGGGTGTTCTTTAGAGGCAGAAGTAAACTCTTGCCAGTAACTGAAACCTTTTTGAAAACTTCTTCCATGTTTTACTCAAAGGGGACCCAGACCATCTCAGCAAAAGCCTAAACGTAACCAGAGGGTTACATTTTCCACTCAAGAATCAGCTGCAGGGCACTCTGGTCCCTGCTCCTAGAAGGCTTTTAGGCCTCTAGAACCCTCTGTGTCTTTCCCCAGGTGGTTCTGAGCTGAGATTCTGGTGCATTGGCCCTTCCTCCTGAGCCACCTGAGACTGACTTTGAGGTTAGCCCTTATCCCTGGACTCTTAGGTCAGCAGAGCTTTCCCTTTCTCTTCCCCTTCCCTTCCCCCTTTTCCCCTTCCCCATTTCTCCCTTCCCTTCCCTCTTCCCTTTCCCCCTCCCCTTCCCTTTAAAAAATTACTAGGCATTACAAGATACAGAGTATATGGCTAGAGACTACTAAAAAATACAAGAGAAACAGACCCATGAATGATTTATAAAAAGATAATTACAAATTTATATACAGAAGTAAAATTAAGTAGTTTATGCATTTGTTTATGCAATACCTGAAATTAAGAACTCACTAAATAGGTTCTGTGAAATCCATATTAGGCATAGCAGAAAACAGGGCTAGGGAAAGATAGGTTGATAGAACATACGAAAATTGAAGCATGAAGAGACAAAAAAAGGATGGAAAAGAAGAGTATAAGAACATGTGGGATGCAGTAGAAATGTCTAACTTTTAAGTTTCCAAAGAAGAGGTAAGAGACAATCCCAGTCTGATGAAAGTTATCAATCTACACATTCAAGAACCACTAAAACTTCAAAACCACTAAAACTTCGAAATTGGAATACATACAAAGAGCATCATCCCTGGGCACATCAAAGTAAAATTGCTAAAGATCAAAGAGTGACAAAAAGACTGGCAGTTGACCTATTACCAAAACAACAGAAGACAATGGAGAAACATCTTAAAATGCCAAGTGAGTATAATTGTTAAGGTAGAATTCTATATCCAGTGAAAATAGTCTTTAAAGGGCAAATACAGTTCTTTTCAAAGAAACAAAAACAGAGTGTGTTGCTATCAGGTCTCCACTAAAAGAGCTACTTAAAGTCATTCCTCACAATGAAAATGATCCCAGACAAAGCTGTGTACTTCAGGAAGAAATAAGGAGCAGTGAGAAAAGTAAATATGTGGGTGAATATATATGACTACCAAGTGTACAAAATAATGCTAAGCCAGGTCTTGTGGGGTTCAATTATATATAGAGTTAAAATCTATCCCCACAATCATATGAAAAGGCAGGAGAGGAGTTAAAGGAGTTACTGTTACATGGTTCTATTGTTAGAGAAGTGAAATCATAAATTATGAGACTGTATTGAGACAACTATGCATATTATAATCTCTGTGGTAGTCCTAAAAATAACAGAATAATATTTAACTAATCCAAAAGAAAGTAAAACGGAGGAAAAAGAGAAAAAACAGATCAAGTAAAAAACCAGTAAGATGGTAGATTTAACTATAAAATTAACTGCCTTAAATATAGATGGATCAAATGGCCCAAGTAAAAGATCAAGATTATAATACTAGATAAACCCAAACACACGTAGCTTTATAAAAGACCACCTTAATCGCTGAGCCACCCAGGCGCCCAGGCCATAAAAGACCACCTTAAATATATGGACATAGAAAGATTGAAAGTGACAGGATGGAAAAATACAGCTAACACTAATTAAAAGAAATCTGATCTGTCTGTACTAGTAACATAGACCAGAAAGGAACAGAGACAATATACTGTAACAGTCACCGTACAGGCGATACAATGGCACTACATTCATATCTTGCAATAGTTACCTGAATGTAAATGGGCTAAATGCCCCAATCAAAAGACCTAGGGTATTGGAATGGATAAAAAAAAACAAGACCTAGCAATATGCTGTCTGCAAGAGATTCATTTTAGACCCAAAGACACCTCCAGATTTAAAGTGAGGGGGTGGAAAACGATTTACCATGCTAATGGACATCAAAAGAAAGTGGGGGTGGCAACCCCTATATCAGGCAAATTAGATTTTCAACCAAAGACTATAATAAGGGGTGAGGAAGGACACTCTTTCATACTTAAAAGGGTCTGTCCAACAAGAAGTTCTAATAGTTTTAAGTATCTATGCCCCTAACATGGGAGCAGCCAATTATATAAACCAATTAATAACAAAATCCAAGAAACACATCAACAATAACACAATAATAGTACAGGACTTTAACACACCCCCTCACTGAAATGGACAGATCATCCAAGCAAAAGATCAACAAGGCAATAAAGGCTTTAAATGACACACTGGACCAGATGGACATCACAGATTCAGAACATTCCATCCCAAAACAACAGAATACACATTCTTCTCGAGTGCACATAGAACATTCTCCAGAATAGATCACATCCTGGTTCACAAATCAGGTCTCAACCCGTACCAAAAGAGTGGGATCATTCCCTTCATATTTTCAGACCACAGTGCTCTGAAACTAGAACTCAATCACAAGAGGAAAGTTTACAACTCCACTCCAGATATATGGAGGCTAATGAGCATCCTACTAAAGAATGAGTGGGTCAACCAGGGAATTGAAGATGAATGAAAAAAATTATGGAAACAAATGAAAATGAAAACAACTGTTCAAAACCTTCGGGATGCAGCAAAGGTGGTTCTAAGAAGAAAGTATATAGCAATACAGGCCTTTCTCAGGAAATAAGGTCTCAAGTACACAACCCAACCCTATACCTAAAGCAGCTGCAGAAAGAACAGCAAAGAAACCCTAAACCCAGCAGGAGAAGAGAAATAATAAAGATCAGAGCAGAAATCAATGAAATAGAAACCAAAAGAACAGTAGAACAGATCAATGAAAGTAGGAGCTGGTTCTTTGACAGAATTAATAAGATTGATAAACCCTTGGCCAGACTTATCAAAAAGAAGAGAGAAAGGACCCAAATAAATAAAAACATGAATGAAAGAGGAGAGATCACAACCAATACCAAAGAAATACAAACATTAATAAGAACATATTATGGCAACTATATGTAGCAAATTAGAAAATCTGGAAGAAACAGATGCATTCCTAGAGATGTATAAACTACCAAAACTGAACCAGGAGGAAATAAAAAGCCTGAATAGACCCATAGCTAGTAAGGAAATTGAAGCAGTCATCAAAGATCTTCCAACAAACAATAGTCCAGTGCCAGATGGCTTCCTCGGGGAATTGTACCAAACACTCAAAGAAGAATTAATACCTATTTTCCAGAAACTGTTCCAAAAAAATAGAAATGAAAGGAAAACTTCCAAACTCATTTTTAGGAGGCCAGCATTACCTTGATCCCAAAAGTGGACAAAGACCCCATCAAAAAGAATTATAGACCAATATCCTTGATGAACATATGTGCAAAAATTCTCCCCAAAATACTAGCCAGTAGGATCCAACAGTACATTAAAAGGATCATTCACCATGACCAAGTGGGATTTATTCGTGGGCTGTAATGTTGGTTCAACATCTGCAAAGTCAATGTGATACAATATATTAATAAAAGAAAGCACAAGAACCACATGATCCTCTCAATAGATGCAGAAAAAGCATCTGACAAAGTACAGCATCTTTCTTGATCAAAACTCTTCACAGTGTAGGCATAGAGGGTACACATATCACTCAGTATCATAAAAGCCATCTATGAAAAACCCACAGTGAATATCATTCTCAATGGGGGAAAAACTGAGAGCTTTTCCCCTAAGGTCAGGAACATGGCAGGGATGTCCACTATCAGCTCTGCTCTTCAACATAGTGCTAGAAGTTGTAGCCTCAGCAATCAGACAAAAAGAAATAAAAGGCATCTGAGTCGGCAAGGAAGAAATCAAACTCTCACTCTTTGCAGATGATATGATACTTTATGTGGAAAACCCAAAAGACTCCACCCCAACACTGCTATAACTCATATAGGAATTCAGTAAAGTGTCAGGATATAAAATCAATGCTCAGAAAGCAGTTGCATTTCTAGACACCAACAACAAGACAGAAGGAAGAGAAATTAAGGAGTCAATCTCATTTACAACTGCACCCAAAAATGTAAGATACCTAGGAATAAATCTAACCAAAGAGGCAAAGAATCTGTACTCAGAAAACTATAGAATACTCATGAAAGAAATTGAGGAAGACACAAAGAAATGGAAAAATGTTCCATGCTCATGGATTGGAAGAACAAATGCTATGAAAATGTCTATGCTACCTAGAGCAATCTACACGTTTAAGGGAATCCCTGTCAAAATACCATCAACTTCTTTCACAGAGCTGGAACAAATAATCCTAAAATCTGTATGGAACCAAAAAAGACCCCAAATAGCCAGAGGAATGTTGAAAAAGAAAACCAAAGCTGGTGGCATTCCAATTCCAGACTTCAAGCTCTGTTACAAAGCTGCCATCATCAAGACAGTATGGTACTGGCACAAAAACAGACACATCGATCAACAGAACACAACAGAGAGCCTAGAAATGGACCCTCAACTCTATGCTCAACTAATCTTTGACAAAGCGGGAAAGAATGTCCAAAGGAAAAAAGACAGTCTCTTCAACAAATGGTGTTGGGAAAATTGGACAGCCACATGAAGAAGAATGAAACTGGACCATTTCCTTATACCACACACAAAAATAGACTCAGCATGGAGAAAAGACCTCAATACGAGACAGGAATCCATCAAAGTCCTAGAGGAGAACACAGGCAGCAACCTCTTTGACCTCAGCCACAGCAACTTCTTTCTAGAAACATCACCAAAAGCAAGGGAAGCAGGGGCAAAAGTGAACTATTGGGACTTCATGAAGATCAAAAGCTTGTGCACAGCCAAGGAAACAGTCAACAAAACCAAAAGACAACTGACAGAATGGGAGAAGAGATTTGCAAACGACAGATCAACAGCTAGTATCCAAAATCTATAAAGAATGTATCGAATTCAACACCCAAAGAACAAATAATCCAATCAAGAAATGGGCAGAGGACATGAACAGACATTTCTGCAAAGGAGACATCCAGATGGCCAACAGACACATGAATAAGTGCTCAACATCACTCAGCATCATGGAAATACAAATCAAAACCACAGTGAGATGCCACCTCACACCAGTCAGAATGGCTAAAATTAACAAGTCAGGAAATGACAGATGCTGGTGAGGATGCAGAGAAAGGGGAACCCTCCTATACTGTTGGTGGGAATGCAAGCTGATGCAGCCACTCTGGAAAACAGTAGTTTTTGCATTTGAGGGGGTTCCTCAAATAGTTGAAAATAGAGATATCCTGCAACCCAGCAATTGCACTACTGAGTATTTACCCTAAATATACAAATGTAGTGATCCAAAGGGGCATGTGCACCTGAATGTTTATAGCAGCAATGTCCACAATAGCCAAACTATGGAAAGAGCCCAGATGTCCATCAACAGATGAATGGATACAGAAGCTCTGGTATGTGTATACACACACACACACACACACACACACACACACACACACAAAATGGAATATTATGTAGCCATAAAACCCCCCAAATCTTGCCATTTGCAATGACATGGATGGAATTAGAGGGTATTATGCTAAGTGAAATAAGTCAATCAGTGAAAAACAATTATCAGATGATCTGACATGAGGAATTTGAGAAACAAGATAGGATCATAGGGGAAGGGAGGGAAATATGAAACAAGATGAAACCACAAAGGGAGAGAAACCATAAGAGACTCTTAATCTCAGGAAACAAACAGGATTGCTGGAGTAGAGGGGAGTGGGAGAGATGGGGTGGCTGGGTGATGGACATTGGGGAGGGTATGTGCTATGGTGAGCACTGTGAATTGTGTAAGACTGATGAATCACAGACCTGTACCCCTGAAAGAAATAATACATTTTATGTTAAAAAAAAAAACCTCAAGGGGTGCCTGGGTGGCTCAGTGGGTTAAAGCCTCTGCCTTTGGCTCAGGTCATGATCCCAGGGTCCTGGGATCGAGCCCCGCATCGGGCTCTCTGCTCAGCAGGGAGCCTGCTTCCTCCTCTCTCTGACTGCCTCTCTGCCTACTTGTAATCTCTGTCAAATAAATAAATATTTAAAAAAGAAAAAAAACTCAAAAAAGTTTCTTGATGATTAAAAACAGCAGCAACAATATCTTCTATCAATTTTGCATCTTACTCCCCCTTTTCTGTATCCAGTTTTGGGTACAGAGAAGGCGTTTAATAAATGCTGGTTCAATAAATGCCTAGGCAGTATTTTTGGGGATTGTAACACAATTTTATGTACCTTTCACTTGAATTGAAGTAGATCTTCGGGAGCCTGTCCAGGGCTCATAACACAACACCACTGAGGAGATCTTTCATCTTCTCAGTTATCCCTCCCCCCAATGTTGGTCCCACCTAGAATGTATTTCCTTCTCAGAAAAATTAAACAAGAAAATTAAATCCTATAAAAAATGGATGTAATTTAGATAAACCTACAACCACAGTGTGAGACTTCAACACACCTCTCAGCAGCTGATAAACTAAGTGGACAAAGGAGAAAATGACTTAGAAGATCTGAACAATGCAACAAACAAACTTGCCATAATTGACATGTATACAGAATACTGTCCCTACTGTTAGAACACACATTCTTTTCATGTTCATGTTCATGTGGAACATTTTTATCCACATTGATTCCAAGCTGGGTCATACAGCAAGCTTCAGTGAGTGTCAAAGGATTGAAATTACCCAGACTATGTTCACTGGCCAGAAAAATCACTAAGAGAAAATCTTCTGCCCGAGTGGCCTGGAGAAACCACAACCCAGGTCACACCCACATTCCCCCTGCAATGAGCATGCACAGGGGCATTGCTAGGAAGACAAACCACAGCCCTGCTCACTGGCCTCACTTTCTCCCTCGATCCGCAAGCCTTCAGTGGGCCTTTGCTGTCACCCAGCAGTCCTTGCACAGTGGCCTGGTCAGTTCAATCTCAAATGCACCCTTCCCCTCTCTCTTCAAAACTCCAGGCTGGGTGATCATTTTCCTTCTTATTTCACTGAGAAAATAAAAGCAACCACAAGAGATGTGCATCCACCTGCCCCCAGTTGTAACTGTCACATCTTTATAAGTGTACCTGAGTATTTTCCATTTCCTTAGGTTATATGAAAGAATGTGATTTTATCCAACGCTTGCATCTCTACTTCTCTGCCCTGGATTCCACTGACTCCTGCCTACTTCAGTGATGCAGAAGAAATGGATGATGTGTGGGAAGGTTTTTGTTTTTTTTTTTTTTTAGCATTATATTCATACATATACACATGAAAACGCTGTAATGTCATCTATTCTAAAGAAACTTCTGTATGCTCTTCTACCTACTGTCTCATTTGACTCCTTTTACTCATATTTACAGCAAACCCCCTCACAATGATTGTATTTCTATGACCACAAGCTTGTATTGCATGATCATTCTTTCTGTTCCAGGGTAATCCATGGGACACCAAATCCAATGGTCGGTTCTTAGTCTTGTTGATTTGAAATGCTCAGCTCTATTGGACACCATTCTTAAAACACTCCTTTTCTTCATTTCTGGAAAACCTTTCCTCCCCCCAATTTTCTTCCTACCTTTTAAGCTCCTCCTGCTTGGTCTCCTTGTTGGCTTCTTCTCTCCTTCCTGATCTTTAAGTGTTGGAGTGCGTCAGGGCTCCAAGCTTGACCTCTTCTCCATCTGTACTACCTCCAGTCATTTCATGCTTCTCTGGATGTAACACTTGGTATGGTGACCTTACCCACCCTGACCTCTCTGGCCTAGAGCTCTCGCTGGCCTCCAGACCTGTTCATCCAATTGCTTATTTGACATCTATACTTACATTTTTATTTTTAAAAAAATTATTTATTTTAGAGAGCGAGAGCATGAGCGGGGAGGAGGGGCAGTGGGAGAGGGAGAAGCAGACCCCTCACTGAGTGCAGAGCCTGACATGGGGCTTGAACCCACAGCCTGGAGATCATGACCTGAGCCGAAATCAAGAGTCATACACTCAACGGAAGAAATCACCAAGGCGCCCCAACGAACATTTATAATAGCAATGAACACTTAGCAGGTCTAAACCCAAATTCCTAATTTTTCTGTCTTCCTGCTCCATGGCCTATACCACCTGCCATACCACCTGCTCTAGAGAGTGCATTATTTTCCTATTACTATGATAACCTCTTACCACACACTTAGTGGCTTAGAACCACACCAATTTAATTCTTTTACAGTTCTGGAGGTTCAAAGTCCAAAATTAAATTTCCCTGGGCTGGACAAGGATGACTGCAGGGCAGTGCCCTCTCTAGAGGCTGGAGGGGAAAGTATGTTCCCTTGACTTTGCCCACCTCTAGCGCTGCAGTCTTTGGCTCACGGCCCCTTCCCCCATCTTCAAAGCCAGCAGAGCCCCAGTGTGCTCCAGTCCTCCCAGTGCCTCCTGCCCCTAACAGTCACATTTCTCCTTGCCTCCCTCTGATACTGGTACTTGCACTCGCATTGAGGAAGGGCTCACCCAGGTCATCCCCGGTAATAGTCCATTTACACATCCTTACCTTAATCACCTCTGCAGAGGCCCCTGTGCCCGAGAAGGAGACATTCATAGGTTCTGGGCATGACAAAGTCGTCATCTTGGGGCCGTTACTCAATCCACCACACACAGTAAAAGGCATCACCATTCTACTGTTCTTCAAAGTAACGAAAAGCCCCCAACAACCTGATTTCCCGCTCTTAAAACTTCCATTCGACCCAGAAGGAAATCTTTCCACACTTAAGATCTATCAAGGATCTGGTCAGTCCTTGCCACCTTCATGGCTGGCGGCAGTTCATGCCTGAATTATTTCAGTAGCCACGACGCTGCCCTGCTCTGCCATTGCTTAACAGAGCCTGCCTGTTTCAGAGTCTAAGTGGGATGAGGTCACTGCCCGGATGAAAAACCTCTGTGGCTTGGGCCGTACTTTACCCCCACTTCACCACTCCCCGCTCTCACCGCTTCTCACTGTCCTCTAGCCCCGACCCACCCTCTGCTACCAGAATGGGAATGCGGCAGGCTGTGCCCCTGAACCAGTGGCACCCTCACTCCCTTAGAGAGATGTACCTGTAGGACTTTCTGGGCTTGCACGTCAACCACAAGGACTCTGTTCAGTGCTGGCTGGGCCACGTAGATGTACCGGTGCCGGACGTTCACGGCTGAGGCCCACTGGCATGGCTGGGTGGCATTTCCTTCCCCTTGGGGACAGATTTCTTCCTGTAAAGGAGACAGGCTGCCATGGATCTTCTTAATCCCCTGGGTCCCCTGCCCTGTGTGGGTCCTTCTCCCTCACTGCCCTGTCCCTCTGTCCCCTTCTTAGAACCCACAAACATGCCACACCAGCCCTCCCACATCACCTGTTTTGAACATTCACCTCCACCTCCTCCCACTCGTGAGGCTGGAACTCCCTTTGCATGTGTTTTTTATGAGCAGCCACCAGGCCTGCCTTCTTCCCCTCTTGGGTGCGAACTTCCCCGTCTGCACTGAGCTCAGCACTCCAGACTTCTCACTTATTAAGTTAAATCTGCTCCCCTTTTTTATTTGAACTTGGGGTACCACCTGACTCCATGCTGCCTATTCTTTGCTTCCTTCCCCCAGCTCCCCCACCCCACAGGCTGGTCCTTCTCTGTTGGCTGGATCCTGCTCAGTTTGCTGATCTCTTGGTCTCTATATGTCAGAATGCACAGGGGTCAGTCCCTCAATGATTTTTCCTCTTCACCACTCCCTTTGCTCATCTCATCCCAACTGATGGCATCAAATACCATCTACGTGCATACAGCTTCCAAATTTGTATCTTTAGTTAGAGCCTTTTCTCTGAACTCCAGACGTACGCAGCCAACCACCTCACTCTACTTGGCTCTTTGCTGTACACCTCAAACTTGAGAGAGTTCAAAGTCAACTCCCAATTTTACCTCCCAATCCTGCTCATTCCTTTAATAAAATGGCAGCTCCACTGTTTTCCTTCCTTAGACCAAAACCCTTATGGCCATCTTTGAGTCCTCTTTTTCTCCTCATCCTCTCAGTCCTCATCAGGGCATCAAAAGTCATTTCAGCTCTGCCTTCAAAATACGTTCAGAATTTGACGTTGCCTCACTGCTCCCACCTCCATCACCCGGGCTCAGGCCATACTATCTGTTGAATAACCGCTGTAGCATCCCTGTTGTACTCCTTGATTCCACCACCCCTCCCCCCGCCCCCCATTCTCAACACAGAATCCAAGGGCATCACTGAGAGTCTGCCCACACCTCTCCTCTTCTCAACACCCTCCACTTCATTAACATTCCTTCTGGCTCAGAAGAGGAGCCAAGGTTTTCAGGAAGTCAAGTAGGCCCTGTCCCCTTTGGCTCCTGCTACTCCTCTGACCTTTAGCTTTTCTCTCCTGTCCCCGCTGTGCTTGCTTTTCTTCCCTCATGTCACCCTCCTGCCCCCTTCATTGGCCTAGCACCGCCAGCACACTTCGCCTCCGTACCTGGCTGCATTTGTCATTTCCACCTGACGTTGTGCACTGATCTGGCTACATCTTTTTAGGCTCTCTTCTGTCACTAGAATGCTCTGTGATGGGCTCTTTGTCTGTCTGCTTCACTGCTATATCCTTAGCACCTAGTAAAGGCCTGGCACAGAATGAGTGCCTCAGTATATTTGTTGAATGAATAAATGAGTGAAAAGGGGGACCTTCTTTTCCCTTACCTTCCAGGATACACAGTCTCATTTTTTTTTATCATGACTCTCACTCAACTCTGTCTCAGTCTCCTTGTGGTCCCCCTCTTGGTCTGCCCATCCTGTAGCTACTGGCCCCCAGGGTTCTGTTCAGGCACCCAAATCAAAGCACTCATACATACCCTTGGTGGTCTTGTCTCCCGCTCTGGCTTTAGCCAACGCCCAGATGAAGATGGCTCCCAGATCTATGTCTTTAGCTCAGAACTGCCCTCTTCAGTCCTCGCTTGGTTCTCCCACAGCCCCTCATACCCAGCCAATCACCCCGAGCTGACCCTCTCCACCATATCTGCCCCTCTCACCAGGTCTGGCCAGCCAGGACCAAGCCTATCACCCTTGCCACTTCCTTCTCTCCTACAGTCTGCCACAAGTGAGTTACCATAGACTACGGAGACGACCTCCTCCATCCCTGAGTTCATCTACTTTCCAGGTCTTTCCTGAATGACTGCAATAGCTTTGGGGCAGAGCTGTCATCTTACACCCTGGCCACCGCCCAGCATCACATTCAGTTCTCATAACTACCCCCATTCACACATGAGTAAACAGAGGCTGGCAGGGGTTAGGTCACTGGTCTAAAGCCACTCAGCCCTGCTGAGGGACAGAGGTGGGATGTGAACCCAGGCGTGCCTGGCTGGGAAGCCTGTGCCCTTGCCTCCTACATGTGCTGCTTCCCACTGCCCAGAGTAGCCCCCTCATCCAGCAGAGACACCTGAGAGGAGATGTGCCAACCTCCTGCTGGCTCAGTGCTTTCAGCAGAGGCTCGCATCACGGTAACCCGCTTGGGAGGTGGTGGGGCATTTTCTAGAGGACAACGCGGTTGGTTGGGACTGTTCCATAGCTCACCATGGTCTGGTGCTGTCTGAAAGGCCTGTGGGGTCTCTCCTACTGTGTCTTGTTCTGGCTTTTTAGGAAATATGAGTCGTGGTTAGGATTTCAGAGATTTCCCTTGAGCTACAGGTTATTGCAAATCTGTGAGAAATTAGTGCCCATGTGACAGGGTGCAATTATTTACACCCAACTGCTAGAAATTAACTAGACCACTCTTTCTAGATGGTTTCACGGCTGTTACGTGGAAGGAAAGTTCATCGGGGTAGCAGATCTAAAAAATGATTAATTCAAATGAAACAGCCTGGAAAACAGCTGGGCCGGAGCTTCGAATGCAGGACACACAGCACAAGCCAGCACGGCAGTGCCACAAGCAGGCGGCAGGACCCTGCCCAGGCATGGCCCACTTCCCCCATGAGCTCCAGGCCTGTCCCCGCTCACTGGTTCCTTCACGTCGGGCCTTGAGGAGAGGCCTGCGGGGGCCTGCCGACGACTCTTCTGGGTTAATGTCCTACTTCTACCGTCAAGTAGCTAAGGGTACACCTTATGTAGGAAACCACCAACATAAGGCCTAGAGAGAAACCAACAGGAGGGACAGAGCCCTGGGATGGGGTGGGTGGGGAAGCACTGTCTGGGGGACACCTTTGGACAGCTGGGTCTAGAGGGCTAGAAAGACTTTCCTGGACCTGCCATCGGCAGTCATCTCTGTGGCCTCCATCCATGTGGCATGGCCGTTGTGCCCTTGGCCTCATACTTCATAGCACCTCTGATGCTTGGGGCATTCTCATCTTGCACGCTCTCTCCCCTGGCCCTTCAGGGGCCACTGAGACCCTCGCAGCTCACCTCCTCTAGTGACTGGTTGAGGATCACTTCCTTTTGTAACCTTAGTTATCCTTGAGTTCTGTGACCCATGTTCTCCAGGCTTCCTTAAAGCTACTTTTTTTTTTGCCTGCCAGGGAGCCACGGGCTCTCTAGCTCACCATGGCCCATCCCCTCCTTGTCCTCATCTTCTGGATGTTTCTATGCTTGTGTCCCATGGGTGTCTTAAATTCACATCGTAGGCCACCCTCGTCTCTTTGATGAGCAACTTATCTGCCCTGCTTTTGGGATCCCAGCATGGGACGGAGAATGTGGCACATGCCTCCTAGAGTGACAAGAGAATGAACAGTACCCCTAACCTGCCTCTCCTCCTGAGTGAAGGACAGTCTGTTCCTCCTAGCAAGACCCCAGATGACCCTTGTGGTGCCTGCTGATATAACACTAAATCTACTCAGTTATTCCCATTGCCACTGCCCCTGACTTGGCTAGGTCACTACCCTCTCTCACCCAGATGCTCACAACAGCCTGTACACCTGCTTCTGGGCTTCCAATCCTGTCCTACTCATCGCCACCCTCACTGGGGCCTCGCACTTGTTCTAAAGCAGCCCCACCAGGGCCGTGATTCATTTGAGGTCCTCTAGGCATCCCCAGAACTTTCAAGATCTGCCACTAAAACTCCTCAGCTTTAACCCTGGCCTCTGGTCATCTTAATCTCAAACCAAGTATTTGCAATTCCCCAGATGTGACATGCCACTTTATGCCACCAGGTGCCATGTTCATAACATTCCCTTTAGAAACGCATCCCCAGTTCCTACTTGTTCTTCACAACTGGGCCCAGGGATGCCCTGCTGGAGAGCCTTCTCTGACTTGGTCCTTCCTGGGTCTGGAGAGGCCTCACCCCCTCAATGTCCCAGTGTACCTTGCAGCTCCTTCAAGCAGCACCTGCTGTGGCCATCCTTTCTCTGTGAACTAATGGAGAAGAGAAACCCATCCGTAAGCCTTGGGCCTCACCCAGGGCTCTGTGCACGGAAGGCCTAATCAAGGAATGAGCCCTTCAACTCTTAACCTCCCATGGATGTTCTGGAGCCTTGGAACACTCGTGGAACCACACCACATATAGCAAATGGAACCTGGGACATCAAGGAGCGGTCACGGTGGAAGACTGGCTCTCAGGCACACTTACAAAGCTCATGAAGATCTTCTCGGTGGGTCGGAGGTGCCTCTGGATCTCACAGTCCACGGGGTGCAGGATGATGATGCCATCGTCAGAGAAGACATAGAACATGTTCCCCACACTGAGGCCTGGGAGGAGCAAACACAGCCATGGTTATGCACCCCCATCCCCAGCGGCCAGCTCCTAAGTAGGGAGGTACTGGGCAGACCCACCCCTGCGGTTTGGCTGCGTGTGGTACAGGCACAAAGTGTGGGGGCCTGGTCAAGCTGACATGAGCTAAGCAGGAGGTATGTGGGCAGCCCAGGGAGAAAGTGCCAGAGGCCTGTGAATCACTCCACAGGTGAGGGCTCTGTGAACGCCGGGCTATCCTTCTAGACACATGCTTCTGCCCTAGGGCACCACGGGCTGGCCACCGACACAAGTCGGCAAATACATGACAGCCTTGGCTCTAGTGTACATTTGGTCTTTTGTTTGTTGTCAACTAGTCAAACAGATGGGTCAGATCATGCCAGAAAAGCAAAGCCTCTTTTTTTTTTTTTTTCCAGCACATTTATGTGCCACACCACTCCTAGGAACCTAAGAATGTTGTGGCTGGTACTCCTTTGTGCCAGTTTCGTCCTGGCCTGTTGGTGCCAGCAAATCCTTCCTTCAAGACAGACTGCTCCCACCTCTGCCTCACCATTTTCTCTGTGGCAGCCCCAGGTCAGGCGATGAAGCCCCAGCCTGGTCAGGCCCACTTGCCTGCTCCCATCACCACCCTGGTGTGGCCATGTGGGGAGAAACCTCAGAGTAGCAGAGAAGGGGACCTGGGAGGATCTAGTTTGGCCTCCTTATTACAAAGACAAAAAAACTGAGGCCCAGGGAAGGGAAGGGGCTTGGTGGAGGCTACTTGGATTTACACCAGAGCCGGGCTGGACCCCAAACCTCTACTCCAGGCTCTCACTGTGCCTCAACATAAAACATAAAGATGGCACAAAATTGGTAAGGTTTGAGTTCTCCCTTTCTTTCTCCCTCATTTTATTTCTTGTGAAGGTGGAATATTCAACAGATTTCCATAAATGCTAAGAAAATTAAATCTATGAAAAACATGCTCTTTCCTAGCACACTGAGAGACCCAGCATACTGACTTCATTGACTATCTGGGTAGGTTTTCAGTGTTAGAAACCATACAACACGAAATAGGAGCCAATATTCCACCTGCTTCCAGTGACTCTGCAGGCAGTTTTCTGGGCCTCAGGCCCTTCCTGCCCCAGAAGCCCCAGTGCCTGGGGTTCCCATTGTGGACCAAGGTTACTGATTCCAGGACACAGTCTTAGCTGTTGCTGGTTCTGTCCTGAGAGAGGGGCTGGGAAGGAAGGCTCTGCTCTAGCTTCTGAGAGCCCCAGCACAACTTGACCCCAGGCTCTCAGAAGCTAGCAGTGTCTGGGAGCACCCTGCACAGGTCTCTCTGGGGGAATCCTGGGGGTGCTAGGCAGCCTGTCCCGAGAGCTACAGGAAGGGGCCTCGTCTCAGTTCCCAGGACATCCCAGCTTCTAGTCCATATGTGCTCTGTCCCCGTGGGGCCTTCTCTCTGTCCACTCTTCCCTGGCAAACTTATTTTGCTCAGACCTATGACTCAAAGTCCCTGTCCCTGGGGTCCCTCGGCCTCCCAGGGTCTCTTAGGAAGTGGACAGCTGCAAGGACCAAGGTAAGCCTGAAAGCTTGGGGACCCCATGTGGGGTTGCAGCTGTGGCCACATGGCCGGTGAAGCACAGCCTCCCTCCACAGTCAGCAGTGGAACGCGGGCCTCGCCAAACAACTGACTTCACAGGAGACAGAGCCAGCCTCCTGATCCGGTCCCCTGGAGGGTTCTGAGTGGAACTTCTCCTAACAGGGCACAAAGGCACTTTCTTTGCTTTGGCGTACCCCAATCATCTCATTTCTCTTGTTGAGATGGAACAGATCCCTGCGGCCTGCTGGCCTGTGGGTTATGCTCCTGTATTTCCTAGTTCCAGCTGTGAAGGGTACAAGCAGCCGGCTGTCCAGGCAGGATGGCACTTGTTGCACCTGTCACCCCGCAGCCAAAAAGCAGCTGGGGGTCTTAAGTTGCCCTCAATGTGAGGCCTCTGTGCTCTGTTTCATACATCCCAGGGTCTCCTGCATTCTTTGCTGGTCTCCGCTTTTGAAACTTGAGCCTCTTTGTAGTGAATACAATTTTAGAAAATTACCACCTCTTAAAGACCCAGAGGGAAAGCTCTCTACATGCATTGTGGCTTAGCGCTAGGTTGGGCAGCACTGGGGGACGGCTGTCCATGGTGAGTGGCAGTTGCTACAACCTGTCTTCCCAAGGAATCCTAGTGCCTACTGGCATTAATTCCTCATTTTTCAGGTTCTGCTTTTGTTTTGCTCTGTGACTTACTGTGAGCAGCAGTGCCTGACATTCAGGAAATTGTTCTGAGTATGTGCATGCATGCATATGCCAGACTCTAGGAAATGCCACGAGGAAATGTTTACCAGGAAAAAAATGAGACAGGAAATAGGCCAGCTTTTAAAGATGAGATTTTGTGCGTAACCCCGAAATCACGGGATGCATTCTGCTTCTCATCTCCTCCCTGAAACCCCCATCCACTAATCAAGCCCCATCCTGGAGAGTAAGTTACCTCTAGGTGATGGGAACTCTGCTCTGGTGGAGGGGTTGCATTGGGCCGGGGTCCACAAAGAGTGACTCAGGCCATATAACCCAGTTCCCACATGGGCCTGCTATTTTTTGAACCACATTAAATTGTTAGTATTAGACCATTTTTGACATACAAGAATGGCCATTTTTTTTTTTTAGGGTCCAACCTAGTATCTAAAGATGGTTTGATAAATAAAATTAAAAAAAATCTATTCATTTAAAAATATACATTTATAGAAATCATGGTGGTTTTTTTCTTCAGCATTTCCTCAAAGTGTATGTCTAAACTTTGAGAACTCCAGAACCAATATCACCTTCTGGAAAAAAGTTGAAGGCCTCATCCAACCAGGGACCCCTGCCAAGTAATCTGCTTCAGTGACGGTTTCAAATAGCTTTAGATAGCAACTTCCCACTTTTAAGTTCTGATGGACTGGTGTCTATTAAAGACACAAGTACATTTTAAATCTGCTTCTCAGCATGTGACCCTTGGGTCATTGACCTCCGCCCTCCCATCCAATCTGGCAGGTGGACTGCACTGATGGGGACTGCATGGTTATCTGGGAAAGCTGATGGTGGCCCATGGAAATATGGCCCATGATGGAAACATGAACACAGGTGATCACAAGCACAACACAGAAGAATAAAACTTGGTACCTTCCTCTCGCCACAGAATGTTTGCAACTACAGCGTCAGAGAATCAGGAGACCGGAAACATGATTGAGGGAAGGAAAAAAGAACAAAGCAATGTCAGCAGTTTACTGTAGTAATTCCTTTCAGGGATGGATGGCTACCTAATCCCTCATGTACGGAGTCTGCCCCACTCACTGCCAAGCAGCAGCCCTCTGATGGGACTCTGGATGTGGACAAATGTTTCTAGGTCTCAGGACACTTTCAATTTCTAAATAGTCTCTGAAATCAGGTCCACTAATGGGATCCTCCACTTCTGTGGTTGACAAGGAGAAAGGAACCATTCTCCCAGAGTTCCTGATTACTTCCAAAAGCCAGGCTGATTTTCAGCTAGGATTCTCCAAGGAAGACCATCTGAGACACTACTCTGATGATCTCCTTTGATGATGAAGACTCAGCTTGGAGTCTTTAATCAAGGGCAAGAGATCCTAGCTACCACTCGTGTCCATGGAATCACACCTGCAGAGCCACTTGGGGGAATGGTGGCTACCTGGGAGGGCACACAGGTGGGGGATAATCCCTGGAGTCAAGGTTATGTGTGCATGTGTGGCTGGGCCACTTCCTGGGCCACGGTGGTACGTCAGCATGTGATAAAAATCATGAATGGATATCTAGTCTATTATATATCGAATTTGTGTCACTGACTGGTGGGTGGAGAGAAGGAGAACTTCTATGGGTAAGGGGCAGAGGTTCTAGTCTATACAGCAAGTAGGAGGCAGAAGTGGGGCTAGGATATGTAAGCTTTCTTGTGGTCTTGGGCACTCTCTGCTTCCAGGGAACTTCCCTGTCTGTGTGCTGTTGAGATTGCCAGTCTGCTTACCTCTGGGCACTCCTGCCCCAGCTGTGAGCACAAGAGAATATGGGAGTTTACCCTGTCTTCAGGGGCTCATGGATGGTGGGTGCGGCCTTGGTCAGTTGGTCCCCTTGCACCCAACACCCCCCAACCCGCGCAATGAGGAGCTCAGAGGCAAGAGTGGACTCACGGGTCTTTCTAGCTGAGTCTTCAATGAAAAGTGAGGAGATATCCTCGTCCACGCCCACTTCGTTTCTGGCGATGCAGGTATACGCCCCTGTGTCTTCATACCGAACACTGCCGATGTGCAGTTCACTCCCATTGGCTGGAGGAAGGACAGTGCTCAAGATGGTCTGCTTAGCTGGGACCCACCCCCCACCCCAATCTCCCTTTTATCCAGAGTGGTGATGTTAAAAACACAGGTCCTCGGCAGGGATGAGGGCAACCAACATCTGTGATACACACCCAGAAAGGGCTCGATCAGCTGAACTAAACTGAGGCTGACTTGGGACAGGATTGACAGTTTATCATCTTTGCGCTCAAAAAGCCCACAAGATCTGTGTGAGTGCAGGTAGCAGGAGAATTTGGGGAGACATTTGTTCACTCCCAACACATCTGACTTAGAAACAAATCATGTCTCTCATTTCACTGGGGAAAGTGTCAGCTTGAACTTGATGGGAAGAGCAGAGAGGCACCGAGGGCAGTTCTTACCTAATAGGGAAAGCTGTTTCGACATCTGGGTTGAGACATCCATGCCATTTTTCAGCCAAGTGATTCTAGGCATAGGAATGCCCTCTGCGTGACACCTCAGACTGGCTGCCACCCCGGGCTCCTGTGCCTGGGTCTCTGGATACACGCGGATGACTGGTGGCACTGTGGATGAAGTTGGTGCTGGTCAGACAGGGCCCTAACCTGGCCTTGGGCCCATGCTCTGGCCCCACGCCTGCTGCCGAGGGTGAACCAAGATGCAGCTCTGGAGTTCTCTTTGTAACTAGCTCATAGTCATCCTGTTCAGCAGCTCAAGCCCTCAAAGGACTATAAAATGAATTGTAAGCAATAAACATGTCAGGCTTTGTGCCCTGTAATTCATGGTTTTCACCATTATTCTAAATATGATCAGAAAGACATCCAGATATTGAATGCTGTTCAGCTGCCACATGTGAAGAGCAACAGCCACTGCACATTTATTTCTGAATGAATAAAATTCAGATATATTATTTCTGTTATTGGAAAGACATTGGACAGGGGCTTAATTATTTGCAGGAAGTGCTTCACAAAGCATTTATGGTCAATGACTGGCAAGGCTACTAATTACATCACTACTCTGGGGAAATCCTTTGATTTTCCTATGAATCCCTGTTATTTCCCCACTTCTCAGCCCCCACAACATGGGTGAAAGGAAAGTGGGCCCTCCTTGGCTCAGCCATGAGCCCTGGCAGCCAAGTTCAGGGCTGAGGATGTGACCTAGTCCACTCATCAGAAGAACATGGGTGAGGGGGAGGGAGCAAGATGGCTGAGGAGTAGGAGACCGAGATTATCATCAGGTACTAGGAGTTCAGCTAGACAGTTATCAGACCATCCTGAACACCTACAAACTCAATAGGAGAAAGAAGAGAAGAGCAGCAATTCTAGGAACAGAAAACCAACCACTTTCCAGAGGTAGGATGTGCAGAAAAGTGAATCCAAAGAGACAGGAAGGTAGACTGTGGGGAAGGGGCCAGCTAATGGCAAGTGGTAGAGCAGCCGAGCATAAAATCGGAACTTTTAGAAGTCTGCTCCACTGAGGGATGTTGCTCCAAGGCTAAGCAGGGGATGGAGCCCGTGTAGGGACAGTGTGGTCTCCAGACCCATGGAGACATAAAAAGACTGGGAGTGTCCGAGTGTGGCAGATCTCCCAGGTATTGGAGTGGGAAGCCAGCAACAGAGACGGAGCTGAGAAGTAGGCTCTTGACTCAGGGTTACCTTAAACTGCGATTGAAGGCATAGTCAGGACACTGCTCTTCGAGCAAGGACCCCACAAGCAGCAGATCCAGGGAGACCCCCTCCTTCCTCCTCCAGGAGGAGTGGTATGGGAGTGCTGCAGGAATCGGCTGGGTTTGGAGACTCCAAATGGGGCAGTGTGCCAGAGATAGAAATTCTCGGTCATATGCTGGGTGAGCTCGGAGTGAGGCTGGAGACCAGGGAGACAGGAGGGATTGACATTTTTCTCTGAGGGCACACTGAAGAGTGAGGCCCCAAGATCTTAGCTCCTATAGGGCCGGAGATTGGGAGGCTGCCATTTTCATTACTGTCCTCCAGAGCTCTATGGGAAGTGTTCAGGGAACAAAAGCTCCAAGAGCGAACCCGAGCAGATTACTTAGCCTGGTCCTGTGGCAAGGGTGGTACAATTTCGCCTTGGGCAAAGACATTCGAGAATCACTGCAACAGGCCCCTCCCCCAGAAGATCAGCAAGAACATCCAGCCAAGACCAAGTTCACTGATCAATGAGAACTGCAGAACTCCAGAGCTAGGGGAAAGCAAGACATAGAATTCATGGCTTTTCCCCCATGATCCTTTAGTCTTTCAAAGTTAAATTTTAAAAATTTTCTTATTCTATTTTTTAATTTTCCCCCTTTCTTATTTTAATGTTTTTAAGCTATTTTATCTTATCAATAGCATTTTAAAAATCTTTTAAAATTTTTATTGTTATAGTCATATTTTTACCTTCATTGTATTTAACCTTATTTTTTGTATACATATAGATTTTTTTTTTTTTTAATTTTGGTATACAATTTCTTCTAATAGATCAAAATATACCCTAAATCTAGCACATGGCTTTGTTCTAGTCTCTAGCCTGATCACATTTCCCCCCATTTTTTTTTCTTTTTTCAACCAACTTCTTATTCCAATTTTAGACTTTTTAAAAATTTTCATCTTTACAGTCATATTCTATTCTTTCATAGTGTTTACCCTTATTTTAGTATATATATATATACATAATGTATGTATATATATATATATACATAGTTTTTTTTCTTTCTTTAAAATTTTTGGAGGTACTTTCTTCTAACAGACCAAAATATACCAAAAATCAAGTGTGTGGCTCTGTTCTATTCACCAGTCTAATATATATATATATGTGTGTGTGTGTGTGTGTGTGTGTGTGTGTACACACACACACACACACACACACACACATATATATATATATATACACACACACACATATATATAATTTTTTTTTCATTTCTCCCCCTTTTCTCTCCCCCTGGTTTCAGGGCTCTCCTGACTTGGTTAGTGTATATTTTTCTGGGGTCATTGCTACCCTTTTAGTATTTTGTTCTCTCATTCATCTTTCTTACCTGGATTAAATGACAAGGCAGAAAAACTCACCACAAAAAAACGAACAAGAGGAAGTACTGATGGCTAGTGACTTAATACAGACATTAGTAATATGTCAGAACTAGAGTTTAGAATGACGATTATCAAGGTGCTAGCTGGGCTTGAAAAAAGCATGGAAGATGTTAGAGAAGCCCTCTCTGGAGAAATAAAAGAACTAAGATCTAACCACATTGAAATAAAAAAAAGCTATTAATGAGATGCAATAAAAAATGGAGGCTCTTACTGCTAGGATAAATGAAACAGAAGAGAGAATTTGTGATATAGAAGACCAAATGACAGAAAATAAAGAAGCTGAGCAAAAGAAGCTGACAAACAACTACTGGACCATGAGGGGAGAATTCAAGAGATAAGTGATACCATAAGACAAAACAATATTTGAATAATTGAGTTCCCAGAAGAAGAAGAAAGAGAGAGGGGACAAGAAGGCATAATGGAACAAATTATAGCAGAGAATTTCCCTAATTTGGCAAAGGGAACAAGCATCAAAATCCAGGAGGCTCAGAGAACCCCCCTCAAAATCAATAAAAATAGGTCCACACCCCATCATCTAATAGTAAAACTTACAAGTCTCAGTGACAAAGAGAAAATCCTGAAAGCAGCTCAGGACAAGAGGTCTGTAACATACATGGTATAAATATTAGATTGGTAACTAATCCACAAAGACCTGGCAGGCCAGAAAGGACTGGCATGATATATTCAGAGCACTAAATGAGCAAACGATGCAGCCAAGAATACTATATCCAGCTGAGCTCTCACTGAAAATAGGAGAGAGAAAAAGCTTCCGGGACAAACAAAAATTAAAAGAATTTGCAAACACCAAACCAGCCCTATAGGAAATGTTGAAAGGGATCCTTTAAGCAAAGAGAGCCCAAAGTAACAGACCAGAAAGGAACAGAGACAATATACAGTAATAGTCACCCTACAGGCAATACAATGGCACTGAATTCATATCTTTCAAGAGTTACCCTGAATGTAAATGGGCGAAATGCCCCAATCAAAAGACACAGAGTAACAGAATGGATAAAAAAACAAAAAAACAAAAAAGAGGGGCACCTGGGTGGCTCAGTGGGTTAAAGCCTCTGCCTTCGGCTCAGGTCGTGATCTCAGGGTCCTGGGATCGAGCCCCACGATGGGCTCTTTGCTCAGTGGGGAGCCTGCTTCCCTTCCTCTCTCTGCCTGCCTCTCTGCCTACTTGTGATCTCTGTCTGTCAAATAAATAAATAAAAATCTTTTTTTTTTTTAAAGAGAGATCCATCAATATGCTGTCTACAAGAAACTCATTTTAGACCCAAAGACATCTCAGATATAAAGTGAGGGGGTGGAAAACAATTTACCATGCTAATGGACATCAAACAAAAGCTAGGGTGGCAATCCTTATATCAGGCAAATTAGATTTTCAACCAAAGACTGTAATAAGAGATGAGGAAGGACACTCTTTCATACTTAAAGGGTCTGTCCAACAAGAAGATCTAACAATCTTAAATATCTATGCCCCTAACATGGGAGCAGCCAATTATATAAACCAATTAATAACAAAATCCAAGAAACACATAAAAAATAATACAATAATAGTATGGGACTTTAACACCCCCTTACTGAAATGGACAGATCATCAAAGTAAAAGACCAACAAGGAAATAAAGGCTTTAAATGACACATGACCAGAAGGATATCACAGATATATTTAGAACATCCCATCCTAAAGCAAAAGAATACACATTCTTCTCTAGTGCACATGGAACATTCTCCAGAATAGATCACATTCTGAGTCACAAATCAAGTCTCAACTGGTACCAAAAGATTGGGATCATTCCCTTCATATTTTTAGACCACAATACTTTGAAACTAGAACTCAATCACAAGAGGAAAGTTGGAAAGAACTCAAATACACGGAGGCTAAAGAGCATCCTACTAAAGAATGAGTGGGTCAACCAGGAAATTAAAGGAGAATTGAAAAAATTCATGGAAACAAATTAAAATAAAACACAACTGTTCAAAATCTTTGGGACAAAGCAAAGGCAGTCCTGAGAGGAAAGAATACAGCGATATAAGCCTTTTTCAAGAAACAAGAAAAGTCTCAAGTACACAACCTAATCCTACACCTAACAGAGCTGGAAAAAGAACAGTAAAGAAAGCCTAAAACCAGCAGGAGAGCAATAATAAAGATCAGAGCAGAAATCAATGAAATAGAAACCAAAAGAACCATAGACTAAATAAACAAAAATAGGAGCTGGTTCTTTAAAATAATAAGATTGATAAACCCTTGACCAGACTTATCAAAAAGAAAAGAGAAAAGACCCAAATAAATAAAATCATGAAAGAGGAGAGATCACAACCAACATCAAAGAAATACAAACAATTACAAGAACATATTATGAGCAACAATACACCAGCAAATTTGACAATCTGGAAGAAATGGATGCATTCCTAGAGATGTAAAAACAACCAAAACTGAACCAGGAAGAAATAGAAAACCTGGACAGACCCCTAACC